GCCGTCACCAACTCTGTCAGGGAGGTTTCCCGGGCGGGGGCACCCTCCGAGGTGGGAAGCTGGGCCTCCTTCTCCCCCAAAGGCGTCCACCGCTGGGGTACGACCTCTGTGGGTCGCTTCCTGCTCGGGCTCTCCCCGCCAGGCCCTCAGCTCCGTCCCTGCCCAAGGGCGCAGCATTTCCCCTCCCCGGTCCCATTTCTCAGTCTTCCCCACGGGCACTTCCAGTCCCAACTACAGCGGCTCCCAATCCCTGAGCGTGCCCTGAACTTGCCCTTCGCGCATCTGCCCCTGACAATCCATCCACCTACCCTTGCCCAAGCCACCTCCAGGAGGTCTCCGGGGCCTGCGCATCCCGCCCGGCTTCTTTCTAGTCGCACTGTGCTTCCTCCGGTGTCGCACTGTGCAGGGCTTCCTTCCGAATCTTCATTTCCCGCAGAATAGGCTGAGCTTGGGAGAGGCCCAGGCCGATTAGGACCAACGTTTATGGTTGCACAAGTTGTACACAACATAGGGCTGTTGCCTGAACAGGCAAGGGGGTGCTGGAATCCAGACGCTGCACACCCCACTGTGCGCCCTGCGCTAGGCTCTCTGCTAAACGGACTTACTGCTCCTGGCGCCAGAGCGGAAGAGTTGCCTTTTCTAACTGGCGTCCCTAAGAGGGCGCTTTCTGCTAAGTTTTTAAGTGGAAGGTACCTATTTCCTGTTCCCACCCAGGGGCCTAAGGTGCTCCCAGCAGGCTGGGCAGCCTAAAGGACTGTTGTATTTGGCTCAGCCCTTCCCAACACAGGGCAGCTCATTGTCAGACCTCATCCCCTGTGCAACACCCTGAGGTCTGTGTGTGTCGGGAGAAAGGAGGGAGTACAGGCCCACGGCTTCCAGTGGTGATCGGGGCTTTCCAAACAAGAGAGAGGAGGCTGCAAGGACAGTTGGGGAAGGGAACCTGTGCAGAGGCCGCAGCACAGGCGGGTAGGGTAGTCATGGTGCAGTGGGCTCCTGTGTTGAGGGCGATTAAACCAAGCAGCTCTGGAGGCCTCACAGCCAGGAGGCTCCCCGACTTGGTCTCCCGGGCATGGACACTCCAGGTCTTACTATCCAGGTCTGCCCCAGGACTTGTGGACTTAGGCATAGGCCTTACACTTTGCCTGAACTAAATTATCAGGGACTACTCCGAGTTTCTTCCCCATGTACTTCTAAGGGAGGGAGGCAGGCAAAGAGAGCAAGAGCCCAGGGGCAGGCAGGTGGGGAGGCCTTGAACTCAAGTAGACCGGCCTTGAGCCACAAGGAGAGAGGATGTCTACACAGGAAAGCCTGGGCCATCACCCTTACAGATACAGCCACTAATGCCAAAGAAGGGCCAACGTCAAGGGTGCTGGGGTGGGGGAGATGGATCTTGTGCATAAAAACCCCAAAGCCGAAGTTGACTTAGGCCCTTTCCTCACCCCTATTTGCTCATCCCACCTTGACTTCAGTCCTGGCCATTCTGTTGCCTAAATGTCTACAATCCGTCACTTACTTTCTGACCCCATGGCCACCTCCCCAGTCCAGGTCACTAACTTCCTTCCCCAATAAATGGATCCCCCACTTCCAGTATTGCCCCCTCTAGTCTATGGACCATACTGTAGCCAGGTGAGCTTTCACAAACATTGTGGTCATGAGCCTTCCCCACTTCAAACCCTCCCTGGGTGCTCCCCAGGCCCTTAGGCCTGAGGCCAAATGCGTGGAACACATGCTGTGTGTCACCTGACCCCTGCCACCTCTCCACCTCAACTTTGCCAAGCCCACCTGCATTCACATAGCTTTGCAATGCTGGCCTCATGGTGGCTTCTTGAAGCCCCCAGGCTCACTCAAACCTCCGAGTCTTTGACTTACTGTGTCCTCAGCCTGGATCCCCTCCTTCCTCTTGCCTGCCAGGCAAACTCCTTCTTGCCCCAGTTGTAGCATTCTCACCTTCAGGAAGCCTTCCTAGTTACATGCCACTTCCTGGGACTCCCATAGCCCCTGTAGGGATGTCAGTCACAACACTTCAGCACATGGTGTGGATATCCCTGTCTCCCATACTTCTCCCTCCCTACCTAGGAGTTCATGGAGGACAGGCACTGCCTCTTTCCCCCACTTGGGCACAGTGCCTGACGCAGAGGGGTGTCCAGTAAACCTTGACCAAGAATGAAGATCACAGTTGTGGATGCAACAGCTTTGGGAGCTGAACCCAAGAGGAGAGGTAAGCATTGAGTTAGTAGCTGCCTGGGCCTGGGTGGTGTGGGTGACCTTCCTCTGAGTCTTTGCATTGTACACAGGATAGAAAGAAACGGGGCCATCACACTGCAGATGTGAAAGATGCATTTCAGGCTGTCTCTCCTTTTCTCTCCGTTCCCTTGTCTCCCCATTCCCTTGTCTCCTCTGATCTGGGCTCAGAATCCCTGGAAAAGCAGTGTGCTGTCAACCCCACCCTAAGGTTTGTCTTTTGAGGGACTGAATTTTTGTAATCTTTGTCCAAAGGATGAATGTGTTGCCTGAGGAAGCCCATCTAGAACATAAAGGTCTGGGGATACCAAATGGCTCTGTGTCTGCTGGACCAAGTGTGCCCAGGCCCAGCAGGAAAAGTGCTCTCTCCCTCTCTCTCTCCTTCCTCCATGGTCTGAAGAGTCATCCACTCCATGCATCGATACCCACAACTGTCATTACAATCTGATCTCCCAGGTAGCATGTCTACGGGGAATGAATGTGCAAATGAATGGATACGAGCATCTTGGCCCTGCTCTTACATTCCTAACTGTAAACGAGTTCATGGAGCTTTTGGTCCCCATGAGTCTGGTCAGTGACAGTCTGTCACAGAGAGAGGGGTCCACTCTAGATGTGCTGACAAAGCAAATTTCCAGACCTGAAATGCTGAGAGTGACCTTCTAGAGAGAACCCAAATTCACCAAAGGAAAAGCCTCATGGTCCAAAAAGAATGGGTCCAAGAACCAGACTGGAAGTATTCCAATCCTGCTTCTGCCACTTCCCGTGTAAACTTGGACAAGTTACTTAACCTCTCTATGCTTCTGCGTTCTCATCTGGGAAATGGTAGTATTGAAGTACACACCATGTAGGGTTGTTATGAGAATTAAATGGGCTACTAAGTGTAAAGATCTAGAATAATGCCTAGCAATGGATAGTCTTCATTAAGTGATAGCAGTTATCATTATAGCCTATGGGGGCCCATTTCTCCAGAGGACACAGACCCCAGAGCCATGAAGTTTTCTCTGGAGTTTTCCTCCCTGGAGGTGGGGGTGGTAGGTAAGAGTCTGAGCAGTCATCCCCACCACTTCCAACATAGTCATCTCTGCAAGAGGGCAGAACCTGAACTTTAACAACTGGCTCTCCATGGTTGGGGGAATCCTAATTGGTAGCTTTTACCAACATGGTGTCTCATGGTCACCATGGCCTATTTCAGCTGGCTCAAAAAGTTTCTGAAAATTTAACAATCGTACCTCTGGACCTGGTATCTTAGTTGATCCAAAGTGAGTACAGAAAAACTTGCCTTGGGATGGAGGGACTGAGAGAAAGTGAAGAAGGGGTCCTCCTGTCCTCGCATACACTAGGCCTTCTCTAGACTAAGCAGGGTCTCTCAAAGTGTGGTCCGTGGACTTTCTGCCATGTTTGGGGTGTTTGTAAAAGTAAGTTCCTTGGATTTGTGCTAGATCTTCTAAAGCAGAATCCTGGAAATAAGGCCAGGAATCTTTAAACAAGCTGCCCAGGTGATTTTGAGGTTTGAGACCTGCTAGGTTAGGGACCTCTTACTTATCCAAGAAGTCAGAATAATCCACAAGACAAATGTGAATTCTACACAATCTTTTCATACTGTGGTCCATTACCAGCAGGGAAGAGTCAGAAACCCGGGCCCCGAGAGCACAATGAGATAGTAATCTAGATGAGTAGTCTAGACGGTAGTCTAGATGACATGGACTAGTTACCTCAGTTCTGTCTCTGGTCCAACAATGTTTAGGGAAAACTTTGGGGTCAGTGTGTGAAGGCCCTGCCTGGCACAGAGCACACCTCTCTGTTGGGACTTTGCAAGATCTACTGGGTGAGAAAGGGCCTGCAGAGAGGGTGGGAGCTCTGGAGGTTTTGCCCTTGGAGGAAGGTGAAACAGGCCTCACTGAGGAATGAACCCCTGGACAGACCCATCTATGGCCCCAAAGTATCTGTGTATTGGCCCCATCCAGCATCCTGGACTCTAGGGTTCTAACAACTTAAATAATTTTTATTACAAAAGGAAGAAAAGACCAAAAAGTCCCCAAAATTCTCCCATGTGCTTCCCCCTATGCGCCAATAAATAAGGTGGGGGAGACTGACTGGAGGCGGGGGTGAGGGTCATGGTTCAGCAGAAAAGGGAGCTTAGCCTGGGTAGGGGTGGCAAGGACATCCAGCCCTCCTACCCTTGTCCCAAGCAGTATGGTCACATTGGCCAGAACACAGAACTCTGTCTACTGATGGCAACAGTCTCTGGATATGTCTGGAGGAGTGTGGCCAGGGAGCAAGGTCATGCTTCAGGATGGCCAGGTGGGCTGCCCCCCGTGGCCTTCTCAGTTCTGGGCAGCATTTAGTCTAGCCAGCTCCCTGCTGGCTCCCAGAGAATCTAGCAGCATCAACCGAGGTGCAAGTCCACCTAAGTGGGGCCTAAGATGGATGGAATGGGCCCTCCCCACTGGGGGAGACCAGGTGTGAAAAACTGTGGTGAGAGCTGGCTGGGTTGGGAGCCACCGTGCCAGCCTCCAAGTCTCTAGACAGGACAGACCACCACCCCCTTGCCAGCTCAGCTTGCAGCTCTATCACTACACCAAGATGGGGTAAGGGATGCTGGCGTGGCCCAGTCAAGTCTCAATGGTGTATCTCCACCGTAGAAGAGATGGCAGGAACCAGTGCCCCCAGCTCAGGCCCCTTCCAGGGCCAGCACCCTCCTGGCAGGGAGGCCTCTGGACCTAATATGGCAGTTCCGGAAGGGCAGTGGTGAGGTCCTTTCAGCTCCCTGCCCCGGACATTCCCAGTGGGTGGAAGCTGCCCTCTCCTAGCAAGAGATGCCCGAGGCGGTAGAGCAGCTGGGGGTACCAGTGTACACCCTCTTCAGGGGTCCAGCTGCCCCATGCCAGGCTGTGAAACAGTCGCAGGGGCCAGAAGGCCAACTGAGCCAAGCGGTGGTCAGCCACAGCCGCGAAGCAGGAAGCTACCACATCCTCCACCACCAGGGTCCCATGCCTTGTGAGTGGGGCATAGGCCCCGGGGGCCACGTGTGTGGAGACAGCTGCCACCCGGGCAGGCTGCAGGCCTGGCACCCCAGCCACCAGGACATACTGGCCAGGCTGTACGTGGCTGGCGAACGTGGCCCGGAAGTGGGACGCCGGTTCCGTGTGATTGTCGGCCGTGAAGAGCAGGTGGGCAGGCGTGAGCGCCAGGCGGCGTGGGGGGTCCTGGGTCTCGATGACCTGGAAGGCCCTCAGCCTGTCTGGTTCGCGGTCCAAGAAAATGAGCACGTCACTGAAGGTGGGGTTCCCGTCCTCCCCCATGGCCAGCACTCGGTCTCCCGGCCTCACAGCTGACAAGGCCACCCGCGCCCCACTCTCCAGGCGCACCTGGGCTCCAGCCGGGAAGCAGCCGCCTGTCTTGGCTGCGGCTGAGTGCTCTGTGGGAAGAAGGGACATGAAGGCATTACTGCATTTGGGAGCTCAAATTCCTAGTCACAAGCCCCTACCCCAGTCCCCCCAGTCCAGCCAGAGCTCCTCTTGCTCCCAGAGAGCCCCCATCCCCATATCCTGGCCCTACCCCCACTGCCCATGCAGGCTGGAACCCACCCCCAACCCCAATGTCATCTTCTGCCCCCCAGCCTAATCCTTTGCCAATGAGAGAACGCTGGGGCCTCAAAACCCAGTGGGCGAGAGGGAAAGAGCCCTCCTGAAGCCCAGGTGATGTCCCCCACCTATTCACATCATGACATTGCTGTGAGACACAGGCCAGAGGGCAGCTGAGCCAGGCAGTGGGTGGCTGTGACTTGACACCAGGAAAACTGCAGCCTCTTGGGGAGGGGAAGTTGCTTGTCCCCTTATTTCTCATCCCTTGTTCAGACACACCCCCAAAATTGTCCTCTCAGACTGACACCCCAAGTTCTGGGACAGCTGGCCCTTTGAGTCTGTGGAGGGGAGAGGAGGGCCAGCCAGTAGTTGGTGAATATGGACTCCTGGGGCAGCCTCAGAGTGAGTGGTCAGGTCAGGGGCTGGGACACAATCACTATCTTCAGTTCATGTGCTGGGTCCTTGTGTGGGGACAGGACACAGCAGCACTAGCTGTTGAGTTGGAGAACAGTGTTTGGGGGTCAGGAGTAATGAGTGGTGGGAGCCAGTCCTGGGCCAGTATTTGCAGATGAAGGGCAACGTGATTTGTGGTGGGGGAAGTGCTGAGTGGAAGGTTATGGCGTGGCGTGGGTCAGGGAGGGATCAAGAATACCAAAATGCGGGCCTGTCCTCCGTGTGCCAGTCTGTGAGTGCAACTACTACGTGCTGCCAATGTGGAGGGCTGAGCCTGCAGCCTGGTGGGACCAGGCTGGGACCACACAGGAACCACTGGAAGCATCCATGACTGGGTTCAGTGTAGGTGACAGGGACACTGACAAGACTTTGGGGGGGGGCATGAGGCCCCAGTGCCTGCCAATTCTGATCAACAAGGCGGCCAATCTGGGAAAATCCACTTTATTGAGTCCACTTTGTTTATTCTGGCTCTCATTGCTGACTTTGCCCCAAAATATCCAGCTTCGGGGCCCTGGGGGAGAGGTTGGGGACGCCTGCGCCCCATGGGAGGCCTGACCTGCAGCTGGGTGGTGGGTTCTGAACCTCTGGGCTCCTGGTGGGGCACACTGGCGTCTGGGCACACCCTGGCCCCTGGCCCCACCACCCCTTGTTCTGCACCAGACTGGGTGGGGAGGCTGTGTCTGTCGGCCTGGCTTCCTCCATCTGTCCAGCTTGCTCTGTCTTGCACCTCCTGTGGCAGGCTCTGGACTGTGGACCACCAGCTCAGCACCCAGCAGCGCTAGGACAGGGCCCTGTCTCCCTAGGCTCCTTCCATGACACTACCAGGCATGGGAGGAGCAGGCGGTCACCAGCAGCCGCGGGAAGCGCCGCCGACGTCCTCTTCCCCGGGATCCCCGCTTCCATACCCTGGTGGGCCTCTTCACCGTCTCCTCCCAAGTGGGCACTGCGCTGCCTGCCCACGCCCTGCGGCCCCGGCCCCCCGGCGGCGGCTCACCGGACTTGACGGAGCAGTGCACATGCGCCTTCGACTCGTAATACACCCAGTCAAAGCCGGCCTCCACTGCCAAGCGCGCCAGCAGTCCGTACTTATTGCGGTCGCGGTCCGACGTGGTGATGTCCACCGCGCGGCCCTCATAGTGCAGGGACTCCTCCGAGTGGTGGCCGTCCTCGTCCCAGCCCTCGGTCACCCGCAGCTTCACGCCGGGCCACTGGTTCATCACGGAGATGGCCAGCGAGTTCAGGCGGTCCTTGCAGCGCTGCGAGAGGAATGTGCTTGGAGTTAGGGGGAGGAGCCGGCCCGGATGCAGGTGCAGGCGCAGCCTCGCCACGGACTCTCCCACCGCACCCACTGGGGTTGGAAAACCGGGGAGGACGTTCTGCCCCTCTCCCTCAGGAACAGAGGGTCCTAACGTGCTCCCTCCCATTCTAGCATCCAGGCGTCCCCAGGGACCTCGACCGTATGGTGGCGCCACAAATCTGGAGGTCCCATAGCGGTAGGCACCCTCGGGGCGCCTTTCTGTGACAGGTGGAGCTCCCCTTCCCTCCTGTGCCCCCTACCCCGCACCCCCGTATCCGTCTTTCCACAGATGGGACTACACCTTTCCAGAGCCGGTGCTTCTGTCTGGCCAAGGCACAAGGGCCGGCGGGCGCCAGGAGGGACGAGGTGATAGCGGAGGCAACTGCCTGCGGCTGGCCTGCTAGGCGTGCAAAGCCCGAGGTGCCCAGTAGGTGTCACCGCAGCTTCAGGGCTGAGGCCCAGGGACAACGGGCCCTGGAGGAGCGGCAGGTGCAGAGCGCCCCAGCAGCATCGGGGGGTGTGTTGGAGGGGAATCCCAGGGCTGCCTAGATCCCTAGAGCACCACAGAGCATTCCTGCTGGGACCCTCTTATGATCCCAAAACGGCCCGCACCAGCGCGCGACATGCGAAGGCCTGAGAACCAGAAGTTGGAGGGCTAGTCTCCGAGCCGCTCCATGGGCGACAACTCGGAGCGTCTCCCTCTGCAAGGGGTGCGCGCAGGGTTGACAATTCCAGAGCCCTCAGCACCTCTTCAGGAATCCGATGCCCCTGTATGTGAAGGGACCTGAGAAACCCAGCCTGTGATCTCAGGAAGCGGGCTTCCCGATCCTCCTCACATGGGGTAGGGAAGAGTCGCGCTCTGGAGGAAGGATGGAGGAGACCGTATGTCACTGCTGCCTCCCCTGGGTTCTGAGTGCTCGAGGGACCATGCAGCTGACTGAGGGAAGGGGGCGCAGGGGCCTGGTCCCCGGCCCGCGGGGTAAGGGGGCTCCTTCCACCAGTCCTTGACTCCTAGGTGTGAGGATCCGCCAAGTGTGGGCAGCCCATGTCTCAACCTACCCCCATTCCGCGGAACCCGGGCCCCACAGACCCTTGGACTTGGCCTCCCAGGAGCCAATAGCAACTACAACCCAAGGCGGGGCCGGTCC